TAACAGAAGATGTTTTTATCTTCAGTTAGATTAACAAAAACTCTTTCTAGAATTCTTACACCGACAGGATCGTTCGAAGACGTGTGCGAGTTAGGACAGGTGGTTTCATTCCGCAACGCTAGAGCTACAAACGGCAGGGCACACAAGGGTTGCCGGCCACGTGTTTCGCCGCATGAAATCGGCCGCAACCTTTTTCTCGCGGCTGGGCGCAGCAGCGCGACGCGTTTCTATATCATTTCACTATAAAAGAGAGTACGGTACGTGAGGCAGAAGTAGGGTTGCGCGGCAAGCGGGGGCGTTCGTTTGTGGAGAACACGCCGCGAGAGGGATAGGAGGAGGGATAGGGAAGCGAGCACGCCGATGGAGGGGCAGCCTCGTGTACGATACGAGTGGAGGGGTGGCAAGAGAGGGGTGGGGGTACGCTCTAGTCGAGCGGTAGCGGCAGGGAAGCGGCCAGGTAAGCAACGAGCGAACACTAGTGGGGCTGACTTGCGCGCCTTCGAGCCGTTGGGATACACACGGCAGCGGCAGCGGCACCGTCGTCGTATACTGTCGCGCTACGCGTGCTACGGTCGTGTCGTCGCACCGTCGTCGTCGCCGTTGACGTACCGCCGTCGCTGCGGAGCAGCGACCTGGGTGTTGCACCTCCGTCGTCGTCGGCCACGCGGCCGCCCGTACCTTGGTGTTCGCGGTCTCGCCGGCTTCTTCCCCCTTGCTCTCTCGCGCGGAAGAGAACGCGATCGCCTCGGAGGGTTGATCGCTCGCCGCGCGCGTCTAAGAGGGGCGCGCGTTCCCGCGTGTGTGTTTACCGGAGCATCGCGGAGCACGGCGGCGTACGTTACGTTTTACCCCCGCCAAGTGCCCGTTCGCCGTGCCGCTGACTCCTCGAGTGACGATAGAATATTGGCACGCTTCCAAAGCGCTTCTGGCGAAGCGGAGACGTACCGCCACCGGCGCTACCACGTTGCTACAACTGTCGCCCGTCGCCGGTCTTGAGGATACGATCGCGCGTCGCTCTTCACTCGGGGGTGGAAATCACGTCGGCGAACTGAGTGAGCCGCGCATGATCGACCGGAAGTTATTATTTGGGGATACGGGGTCGTGGTCTCGTGAAACGTGTCGCGATCACGCTGATTGATTAGCACCTATGCACGGCGAGCAGTGTCGCGTATCCAACAGTGCGATGTGGCGATGACTGCCTAGTTTCGGAGTATTTCGTTTTGGAGCACACGAGTTTTCGGAGTTTTCTCTCGTTGCCTTCTACTTCGCACGTTTTCGCAAACGAAATGGATATAGTGTGAAACGACTTTGTGTGAACGATCAAGTGCTGCCGATCGGTCTCGATCGGTCGGAAGGGATAGCAGGGGGTGTTTTGCGCCACGTGGGGGGGAGGCAAAGTGATAAAGGAACAGCGGCGTCGTTAGATGCGACGATTTTAAAAGCAGCTCCCGGAGGCCAGCCCGACGCAATGCGTCGACGCTGCTGACGCAAACGCGCCTGGATGCGTCTCACTCTTAACACGTGAGTGTCTTTTTTAAATAAAGGGAAACAGGGGGAAAAGGAAAACGCGAAAGGGTTCACGCGTTACGATCGTACGTCTGTCGGATCACCGTCCACGGATTTATCCCGCGAGGAGGCTGCCGGCCTCGTGTATTTCGATCGAGTCGCGCGCGAGTCGATCGAGTTAAGATGATTCCGAGGGGATTGGGTGGAAGGACGATCTCAGCATCTCCGCCACGTTACACCGACACTTGAGCATTGCTCGGTACCCGTACGTTGTTCTCTCCTCTCCACCCCTGCACGTCGCGATTCTCGCGAATCGTGTGCTCCGCTTTTGCGACGAATATATTTCCCGCGCTTGCAAAAAGGAGATTTCCTCCGTGAGTATAGTGCCCTGCGTGAATTGGTGCTGCGTGCGGTGTTTATTATTGTTGTTATTTGGTGGTAGTAAGTGGTCGCGAGTGCATATACGCGACGACGACGACGGTGGTGAATGATCCTGGCTCCGAGCTGACAAAGGTACTCGTACACGAATACTGGGATGACGTCCGCTTCGGATCACGCGGTTCCTTCACGATCTCGTCAATCCACGTCGTCTAACGCGGAAACAAATGTAAGTTTCCAGCCCGCGAGATCTCGTTGCGACGCATTTGGAAAATAACTTTGGATTTGTCCGTGAATGATCGCGCGCACCTTGGCGACGGGCAAACGATGAGGCGTGAGCTGAGAGCGGCTCGGTCGCTTATGAAACAAAATTTAAATATGTACAATTCAATAATTTAAAAAAAAACAATGATGTTATGTAGTATGATGGATTTTACTTCAAAATGACTTGCGTTATACATGAATGATGTATTTAGCATTCAATATGAAGGGTATTATGAACAAGCATATATAAATTTCTTATGTCTAAACATTTGTTTAACAAATGAACGCTCCTCTGCTCTTTAAAGTTCGTGGGGGAGAGGGGGGAAGTTTATCGTCAGTCAATGTGCGCGTGACCAGCGTAACTTAAAGGCCATTGCACGTAACAAAGATTTAGCCATGATCGTAAGGCCGTAAGAAAATTAACCAATCACAGTCGATTATTCTTCTCGCGCTCGAAAAATAATTGAGTGTGATTGGTCTATTTTCTTATGGCCTTACGATTACGACTAAAACTTTGTTACGTGCAATGGCCTTAGGACCGTCAATTTCTCGATCAAGTTGTAGTTGTAATCACGATATATACCACGGGTTTGTTTGAGATCGTCCATCCATTGAACTCTTTGCGATAATAACAACAATATATAGTAGAAATCTGCATTAAAATAGATTTTATTTGACCAAGAAATGTGTTGATTGCAAGACTTAACATAAAGCACACAAAAGGATCTTGCTTGAAATCGTTTGTGAAGTAGGATTTGTCCCCCAAGAAACCCAGTTTGAGACACGTTTCCTCGAAGCGACACCAGGTAGTAAAACGACAAACGGGCTTTGGCCTAAAAAAGCGCGTCGGTTTTAAAATGCAGTTATGATCAAATACGGCGAGAGACAAGTCGTACCTCGCGAGTATGACGGCGCTTGTATAACGGTATCCATTATGAACGCGACGTGTGCTATTGGGATAGTTTAAGGGCGAAGACAGACTTATCTCCTTCGGGTCCTTCTCTCCCCTATTCACATCGCAAAAGTGATCGATATTTTGTGATCGCAATTTGCGTTATAAATTATATATTTGCATTTCGATACATTTGAATGATATTGCATTTTAACAATTTTAATTTATAATGAAACGTTTAAAGACGGAAAACTTGGGTTCCATATTGAAGAGTATCACTTTTAATTTATTTGTGCTGCTGCTGGTACATAACGGTCCCGAACAGCGGTACTCAACCGAGCACGACGCGCGCAACCCTTTGCCACATTGGATCCGGCGATCCCTGCAGATGAGCGTAACCGAAGGGTCTTGACACGCTTTGCAGTCGATTAACGAAAAGCTATACCCTTTTCAAGCCAACGGTTACTCGTGCTAGGTGGAGAAATTCACGCGATGTCAGGTGTTTGCGACTTTATATATACCTACGTTGAATTGAATATTCCGTACTTCTCTTCAACTTATTTATTCTAATTTTATTCTTTGTACATAATTAGTAATAATTAAATTTTATTACATCTATATATCGAATTTTATTACGTTAACGATTTTTTCGCATAGCCGGTCGTCTTCGCAAAGATTTGCAAGTACTTACGTATTTAAGTGCGAATTAGTACGTTAATTAAGATGATATCCCATTTAAACAGTACTCGCGCTAGCCTCCGCTAATTCCTCAACGATTTAATCCTCGACACTTTTATCTTAAGTACTAAACATTTTTGAGATGTTAATCTAAGTCATCTCACGTGTGAACTCGTTTAAACGAACGGATTGAAAAATATCAACTGGACTTTCGAATCGTCAAGTGGGACACCACGACTTATCGGAGATCTGCGCGAATAGGTTTCGATTTCGTTGGCGACACACTGTCGCGATGGATCGTTTCGTTCTTTAGATCGAGCCCGCTCACAATATACATAGAAGATCGACGGCCGTTCCGCTTTTGAGCGGATAAACACTCAATCCGTGGAATTTCCGCTTCGATGATTATTATCAGAAGACGAGCTGTCAGCGAGAAAATCAGTCGGCAAATGCGCGATAACGGAGCATATTTCAGATAAGGAAAACGCGCAATTAAAATACTTTTCGGATGAGCCCCACGTGAGGCAACGGCACTCTGTGCTTCCACGTCCTCTTCTTTCTGACCTTTATTTTCCGCTCTCTTCTTCTCTTCTTCTCTTCTTCTTTTCTTCTTCTCTTCTCTTCTTCTATCGCTATACCTCGTATTCGGTTGTTGGTAATCAATTAAAGCTATTCCCTATCAATGATGAATTGACTTTCAATTGTGCGTCGCGAGCGTTCTTCTTTGTTTCGCGAGATCGTATAGATCTTGCGCACAGAGCTATTATCTACAGTTCGATTTATTCTGCCGCGGTTGCCGATCCCTATAATCACCGGCACGTTTTCAATATTTCGTTCGCGGGTAACGGAGCGCGCGCGTGCAGGCTGGCGTAACGCGGGTCATTCATTTGCGTTGTATGGGAGTCAGTCTAAATTGTAGGGAATTATCTCCCGCCTCTCGGTATGAGGTGACAGCATTCGTTGCGCCGTACGGTCACAAGTGTGTGGTTCTTGGACCTTTCACGATTCATTGGGTTTTATCGTATTTTCCTGTAATGGTCAGTAGGCGACTTTTGTGCGCGCACCTTGCTCTATCGGGCAGACAGAGATGAGTTTTGAACAGATGAGTAGCGACGATTGACCAGGATATAGTTAGATTTCTTCACTGAGTTTCTCTTGGACTTTAATTTCCGATTTTCTCGCAACGACGACTTCAATATTTTATTATCAATTAGACCCAGTTGCACTAGTGATGCACTGTTAAAATTAGATGTTTTATGCCTTTTAGGAACGAAATGATGTAACGATGGTTATCGCCCGATCAAAGATTAACATTTACATCTTACGAGAAAGAATTCTTGCGAATTCTTTCTCGTGCAGTAACCAATTGATGTCCATCGAATGGAGCATGACGCTGGGTAACGAAGCACGATCTACGCCACGATGTGCAAACATTGTAAATCCCCGGCGACGCATGTGCTAACATGAATAATAAGCGAACATAAGAAAGATTTTAGCGGTTATGGGGCCGGTGGATGCACATAATGCACTTTGGTTCACGCTCAGGTCTCATTAAAGGAATGCGTGACGCGAGCATTTTAGATCTGCTCGTACCGTTTTTCCACGTAAAGCACTTTTAAAGTACACTTACGAACTCAAGTATCACGCACAAAATTGCGCTAACATACGTGCAAATGTAGTTTCTTTTACATAAACGTAAACATTACAGGCTTCAAGATATTATTTTGTAGAGGGAACATAGTTGAATACAATTTTACGATAATTATGTAAATTGTTGTTAACTTTTATTAATGAATTTGTTATGTGAATATTGCCGCTTGTAATAAACAGAAAAGTATTTGGAGAGAATATTAAGAGTAGAAATATATTTAAAAATAATTTTGATTTAAATTTTGACTTGTAGAAAGATGCATTTATGGAATTATTATATTAATGAGTTGAAAAGAGCAACTGGTGGAACGTAAAAGTGGTATTATCGCGTTCGTTATTGTTATTGATGTCGATTGCACTGAATAATATACCGAATAGTGTCGATATACATATGGACGCGGAGACAATCCAATCAGGGAAAACAAGGTCGCGGTAATGATATTATCTGTCTTGTGTCACAGTTTGATATCGAATATTGCGACAAGGTTTCATTGAACAAATGGGTATATCCACAAATATAAAATGTTCTTGAGATTTCTATTCGTTTGATACTAAAAATGAATTCGTAGAAGTCATTCAAGTCCGAGCCTTTACATAGAACGGAACTCGTTTATGCGTCTTTGATTGAGCACAGATAAAAAGAATAATAAACAAAAAAATGACCGAGTTTCGCGATTGTTTTGGTATATTGCCATTGATATCCTAAAAGCAAGATACTTGTCTAGGTAATCAGCGATTTTGCTAATTGAAATCAGATATGCTGTGAGCAAAAATGATCATTAAAACAACACACAAGTATGCATTAAATGCGTATCTCGAATCATTTGGTAAGACTATCATTTTGTAGACCTTGCACTTGATATAACTTTTGGGCAAATACCTTATTACTATCAGTATACTCTACAAATGGATTTTTTTGGTATGCAATGGAAGAATGAATCGCTAATCGCATATTTAATTGATTAATTAAATATGCATAATTAACATTATGCATATTTTGTAACGAATATTTTATGATTGTAACAGTATCTAATTTTGAAATATCATGAAGTATTTCGATTGCGTTAACTTCCAACGAAAGATCCATTACCATTATCGATACTATCGTACTTGAACGAGGGACGAACAGTCCGACGTCTCTAAGCAAGGTAGT